AAATTCAAACCTGCCATGTAGACATGTTTGTCACTTTATAGTTATTGCACCTGCTTGGCCTCCTGCCAGCGGAAGCCATTACTCCTGCCAAACACAAGCAGCCACAGCTTTGTGCTGCGGGTGTAATAATCGGCTTTTATTGATTTTACTACGATTCATCTGGTAAAATTCATGGTTTGAAACACTCACGACGCGTTAAGACTTGAAACTTAGAGCTGGAAACGTGTTGTGAGTAGCTCCTCTTACAGAAATGCAGATGCGTCTCTGTTGCATTAACAACTAAATCAAGCCGAGACGTCGCGGAGCCTCGGAGAGCTCGATGCACTGCGACTGCAGAAAATGTTCTCCATGCAAATCGACAAAACGCAGCAAATAAAAAAAAAAAAAGCCTCCTCGCCAATTTGCTGTTTGACGAAGCACAGTGACTGCACTTAGAGGACAAAAATGCTGCAGCAGATGGAAAAAAAAAACAAGTAAATTAACACATCTCCAAAATGAAGACACATCTGTACGTACGTCAGCATCAGAGAAGAACTGGTTTCATGTTGCAGAGCAGAGGGTAGGAGGGTCGGCTTCAACAACACTGGACTTACAACCACTGTCTTTAACAATATCCAAGGCTGACATGAACAATAGGTTAAAATTCATTATGCAATTGATAATTGATCATAACGACTGCTTTCCCAACCTCCAAGAAGCAAAATGCCTTTAATTCATGAATGGATTCATTTTATTTAACCCCTTCATCACAAAGTAACTTTGGCTTGAAATTCATGATCAGATGTGGTTTTGATTAATCACTCATACATTCTTAAGTAGACTTCACATCATTACACATCTGGTATCAATCAAAAGTAGACAAGTCGATGGTTAAATATACATCCGGAAGTTTACTCTTGTCATAAAGGTGTGAAAAAGTAAAGGCAAACTTCATAATTATCAGGGATACTCGGTCCTCGCCAGGATTTTTTTTACAGCGTACTGGGGGGAGTCGTCGCTGTCGTCGACCTGGGGCGTCTTAGCGAATGCTGCTAACGGTTAGCGGCGAATACGCTAGCGAGCAGCAGCGATGGTAGTGAAACTCCATCGACGCTTCTTGTTAAATATTTTCCCGTTACATATCCTCGAAAATAACGTATCGGCCCAATTTGCAGCAAATATTTTTTAAGGCAGCAGCATAACAGGCCGTTACTCTGTTATGACGCTCGCGAGAACCCTGTATGCAATTATTATTATTCTGACTATTTGTATAATTTATTTCATTTCAAATCGCTTGTTCACATACAGGGAATCCCACTGATAGACAATCAAAATGAATGTAGCAGAAACCAGATACCAGAGCCGCTATACCGGGCTGCAGGGTTGATGGGGTTCAGCTCTTCTTAGTGTTGCAATCTGTGTAAATTGAAATAAAAACTACACATTTACATATAAAAGTCCAAAACTGTGGAGTTAAACTGCCCACACGATAAAAATAGGAGAGATGATTATTCAAGTCAATGGTCCAAGAAAAAAATAAAAAAAAACGGTGCATATTTTACAGCACAGAGCAGATAAAGAAGCTTCTTTTCTCTTTATTGTGGCATCGTCGTGCGTCTTTGGCAGCAGCTTTGAATTCTCTGTAAACACCTGAAGTCCTGTGTTTGTCAGACGACGTTATGAAATCTGGGTTTTAGTTGCAGAGCAGCAGCTTGAAGCGATGCTGGTCGCTGTTTCGTTCTGCTGCTCGACAACAACATCGGCAGCTTCATGCGGAGTCCAGATGCATTAAAACACAGCTGATGTGAGCACAGAGAGCAGGAGAGAAGCTACAGACGTCAAGTTCCTGCTGCTGCTGTGATCTGACGTCCAAACCATCTTTCTGCTTTGTGATAATTCAAAATACTTCCAGCCTCTGAAAAGTCTTGGATTTGTCGTCATTTTTACATTTGTACAGGTCAGACTTTGCTGCAGCCGTCATTTTGTTTTCGCAGAGATACACCAAAAACAAACAAAACAAGTGTAATAAAAATGTTGACCTATTTTCAGACAGTCGTCCCATTAATGCCAGAATGATGCAACCAAGTAGTTCAGTTTGTCTTTGAGCAGATTACCAGCTACGTGTACGTCTGATCTGCTGTGACTTGCAGTTGTCCATATTTCCTCTATGTGCTGGCGTTCTTTGCATTTTCTTGATGCCAACCGACGAGTTGACTCATTAAAAGCAGCAGTGTGACTGTATTCCCTCCCTGCTGATAACGACATGATATTTACAGGCGTCATGAAACCATTACGGCCTCCGGTTCATGTTCGACCGTTTGACGGATCATTCGTAACGGAGATAAATATTTCCATATGCTGTAATTGCACATTCCCGTTGCCCGTGCAGCGGTCGGAGCAGGCCGCTCTGCATATCCAAGAGATTTATCGACAGGTAATTAGCCTATTACAGCCTTTCAGTTGTAGCACGTCCTTTAGACAAATCGCCGTTACTACAAGCGGCTCACAGATCCCATGGCAAATGGCTTCTTTTCTGATGTGCTGGGAGACACTCTGTGATTACATTTAGTCCCGGGCCCTTTCATTTGACCAGCATATCATTTCTTCCCTGGCATACTTCAAAGTGTGGACACTTCAAAGTGGAATGAGTGACTGCCACTCGGACTCTGAGGACGGCTCTTTTGATCATCTTCTGAAAACTCCCCTAACGCAATCAGGGCGAGCACGCCGGAGAGGAGGATTTGACAGCCATAAGATAAATGCAGTCATCCTCACAGCGATCAGATAAGCACAGCATGCTCTAATCCATTAATATGAAAATGAGGGAGGACCAGAAGTGGAGGGGTGGGGGCTCTGCAGCAACAGTTAAACGCTCTGGAACGAGTTTTCAAAGGAACCGTTCAGGGTTTAAAGCATTTAATGATGTGTGTGTGCGCCCGGACCAGCGGCCACATAAATAAATCACAGTGATAGCAATAAGGATATAGTCTGTCCACGCATCTGAAGTGATGGTTTACAAACTGAGCTCTGCTTGCAGGAATGTGAGCGGGAAATTCTTCTCACGATAAAAAAAAATAGAAGTTTAATTTAGGGCCTTGAGCGAGTCACAGAATGTTCTGGCTCTTAGAACAAACACAGGTTTAGTTCTTTAAACACTAATATCTTTAGTCACCTGAGAAACAGTATTATAATGAGAGAGACTGCCGAGGAGGACGTGTTTTATTAGTCAAAGACGTTCTTTAAGAAACGGCTTATTTTTTTAAATAACCTCCAGTGAATGATTCAGAAACAGGCTGTTGTAGGAATTATTGATTTCTCGTCTTTATCATTTTATATATTTTGGGTTTGTATCCCATCCAGTCACATGTCAACATGACAGATGTTATCATGAGGGACGAACCTCAACTTACAGAACGCCTGTGAGAGATGTGACTACATCAGTAGCGGCTCAATATATTTGTGTTGTAATAAATATTTTACTGTGAAGCCAGATGTTGAGTGGGGACGCATGCTATCTGTATACATGCAAACAAGTAAGTAGCTTATGTGGAGACGTTAATGAGTCACTGTTTTTCATTTTAATCCAGTGTTGTATTGAGTAAACAATGACGCCTGTTGAGCTGTTCTCTGTTCTGCAGGTAAAACCATAAAAAAAAAACAACAATACAAATCAACCGTCACCTGCCAATCCGTCTCTACCCTTCACATACGTGTTAACCTTTTCCACCTGGTTACATTCCCAGATGATCACCCAAGAACAAATCAAGTGCAACAGAAACACACTGGATTATAACAAGTACAGACGCACAAGCTGTCAAGCAAACAAAGACTAAAAACAAGAACAAAAACATCTGATCATCTCCTGACTTCCAGGTCTTATCAGAGGTGTCTGACTTAAGATTATTTAATGCCACTTACAGTCACGTTTGGTTGTTGTGGGGAGAATTCTGGGGTTTAGATCACAACAGCACAACAAGACTTCTGTAGCAGCTGAAGAAATTCCTCATCAGTTGTTTATGATTTAACTGATTAAAATGATGTTAATCGATAAGGGAGAAGAAGGTTGTGCATGTCAGAAGATGCATGTAGATGAGCTGTAGTACCTGGTTGTTCCACCAGGTGTCACTCAGGCTACAGTTCATGCTGGCAGCAGGGAGCATTGTGGGGGTTCAGCTAGCAACAGGACCATGACAGAGACTCTGAGGAGGTTCATGACCTCCGACCAACTGAGATCTTCCAGAACAATGTTCCTGTATCCAGTAGGATATGTAGATAGTAAAGAGGCACCATGACAGGAGTCTATGTGGTGGGTAATGACGTCCAACTACAGCTAAGACAAAGACTACGAGTGAATGATAAGTGTCCAGAGGGTTTTAATTTTCACCGTGTTATGTTCATGTTAATGATTACCGTAAACTCCAGACTATTGAGGCACTTGAATATAAGCCACACCCACTGAATTTAAAAAGAAAACTAGTTTTGTACATATATAAGCCGCACTTGTTCTCTCGTTGTCGCTCTCGTCACCTTCGTCTCGAGGCAAATTCGTAAAAATCCATAAATTAGCCGCATCATTGTTGAAGCCGCAGGGTTCAAAGCGTGTGAAAAAAGTAGCGCCTTATACTCCAGACATTACGGTAATCAATTTAAAAAGTGGGCGACTCAGAAAAAGGAAAATGTTCTAATCCTGACTTGACAGCTCTACCTTTCTAACTATCTAGACTTGAGGTGTTTCTGCTGCTGGTCCGACTTTGTAACACAACAAAACTACACAAAGTTGGACTTGTTCAGCTAGCTGTTGAAGAAGCATCCCTCCATCTGGTCGCGAATCCGTCCAACCACCTCCACTCCTCACTGCATCCCTTCGTCTTTCCATCTCTTCATCTGAAACCCAACTCTCACAGCTCTCTCCTCCTCACGCTACCACCTATTGATCCATTTTTTCCTCATTTCCGCTCTCCATTCATATAGTCATCATCCATTCATTAGCTCAGGTATGCGAGGGGGTGAAGTGGACTCACCTAATGGGGTTATGTGTCTCCAGGAAATGGTCGGCTCGGGTTTCCCGCTCGCCGTGCAGATGAGCGACACGTTGCTGCCTTCGTTTACCGTGATGTCGGACGAAATGTCGTATATCTTGGGAGGAACTGCGAAAAAAGAAAACACAGGAACGGGATTAGCATGTGAAGTTAGCGTACAAAGTTAGCTTAGAGAGAACAGGACGGTGGAAACAGGAAGCAGTGACCTGTGCTCCAGTTCTGAGTTTAGAAATACAGGTGATGCTTAAATATCACACAAAGTAGGTTGTGTTAGTCAGTGTGGAGTTGGTGCAGGTTAAGCAGGTGTTCAGAGAAGACAGCTTCCTGCTAAGAAGCATTAACAGGAGTCCTGATGCAAGAAAACAAGAGACGGGGTCATTACTTCTGTGTGTCACGACGCCTCAAGGGGTCTCATTTTGGTTTGACTCGCCAAAGAAACAAGAAGGTGCTGCTTTTAATTAACCCGCGACAAATAACTCGTACTTTTTTTCAACAAAGAAAGAGAGTAAGACGCTGCTCAGGCTGGCAGGCTAACTAGCTAAACAGGGACTTAATTAGCCAAACACTCCCGCTCACACGCTCATATTCTATCAGTGGTATTGACTTAGTCAGTTTGTTAAAACACCAACAACGACTTCAAGTTTCTTACATCACATCGCACACAGAGAACCTTGTCTCTTGTTCTACAGTCTGCAAATAAAAACAGTCACAGGAAAGATCCACATCTTTCAATCATTCATCAGATAAAAACATCAGAGAAAATGGCAACAGAGAGCATTGTAGCTAACATCGGGACCATGACAGAGAAAAATGTAGAGGTTACCAACCAGAGCTCAGGTATAGAACAAGTTAAGAGTTCACAGTTTAAAAATCGGCATAAGGAAAATGTTCTCTGTGTTTTACTCAGTCTGACAGGTGAATGGCCGAAAATCGTAAAATATTTGCATCCCCACCCTGATTGCACCTTTCCAGCCACATAGACCTGAGGTTAGACAGCTGCTTCGACTTCATCCATCCATCATCTCTACCCCTTAATCCTCACCAGGGTCATGGGGGGCTGGAGTCTATCCCAGCTGACTCAGGTTCACCTGGACAGGTAACCAGTCTATCACAGGGCTACACTTAAAGACAGACAACCAAGCACTCTCACATTCACACCTACGGACAATTTAGAATCACCAATTAACCTCAACATGTTTCTGGACTGTGGGAGGAAGCCGGAGAACCCGGAGTGAACCCACGTTACACTGGGAGACAATGGAGACTCCACGCAGGGTGTCCTCACCGGGATGCGAAACAGCAACCTTCTAGCTGCGAGGCGACGGTGCTAACCACTGAGCCACCTTGCAGCCCCATAAGGAAAATGTTCTCTGCATTTTTCTCAGTCTGAGAGGTGACCGATTAGGAAAAAGAAAATCTCTAAAAATTTGCATCCTGACCCCGATTGCACCTTTAAGCCAACTTGAGGTTATAAAACCTGAACTGAACGTAGAAATCTCTAGAAAATTCAGCTTCATGAGGCCACATGACGTCACAGCAGCGCTGAACTCTTTTAAAACGATTCAGACTTTGTGTTTGTGGTTCAAAACATCACGAGCAGCAATTAAACCGAACCCTTTAAAATCAACAGAAACAGGCGACGGTGGAAGCAGCCTGGACCTCGGGGGGGTTTGGACGCCGTCTATCATAAACCCAAGAAAGTCCCTAAGAAGAGTGTTTTTGATCAAATAAACAGCGAGTTTCTTCCCGTTGCTCATCAGCAGTCCCTACCGGACATCACTGACGATCATAATTGGCAAGTTTGTGGGCACTTAAATCCTCTCGGAGCTTTGATGTTAAAAGCTTCGGTATTTAAGCTGCTGAAAACACACATGCAGCCTCCCACAAAAGGCATTTAAACGCATTTAAATAAGCGCACGTGCAGGTACACGTGCGCGCGCACCCACACACCAGGGCTTATGAGACACTATTTTAATCTGCAAGATTTGAATCTCAGAAGGAGCTTTTCTGCAGTGGACTGTGCTGCACAGTAATGGATTCTCAGTCATCTGGGTCCAACTATTCTCCCCTCTGATCCCGCCTGATGCCGGCTGAAAAACCAACAAAAGAAAAGTTGATTCAACAATTTCCAGAGTTCCTCTTTAGAGCCACCAACACTTTCCAGAGTCACGTGGTCTCCTTTGTCATTGAACTCCGTCCTCTTTCGCTGCAGCCGCCCTCGTTTGTTCCTTCCTCGCCTGATTATCCGTCACAATGCAGAGCAAGCCGCCACCAGCGCGTAGCACGAGTTATGCTAATGTCTAGTTTGCACATTACACGTCGAATTTTCCCAAAAAAATGCACAATCTAGCAAAAGAAAAGCAGTAAAAGTCCGTTTTTATCCCTTCTTCTGATTTGTGGGATGGATCCTTTTACAAGCTTCACTGTAAAACTGTAAACTGATCGTTTATCACCAACACTGAGGCCAAAACGCGGCGCTTTCACCTGATTATACCTTCAAAGACCCGTTCCTTCACCTCGTTAAATGCATGATGGCAAGACACAGAATCCATTTCACTTATTAAGATAAAAACCTGTTGAGTTGTTATTTGACCACATCTGCTTCATATTTCTGTATTAATTGATTGTAAACTAAATTCCAGGTGTAACTTCATGAATTCGCCTCGCGTTTAGAGGCTTAAGTCGACATTCCTGAGAACAGTCGGATGGTTCAGGCTGAGCAAACACGACACAAAGGACGTCTCAAGGTGAGTTTCAAGTCTTTTACAAATAAATTCCACTGAAGCGATGAATCTGGAAACGTTTTCTGGTGCCACAGAAGAAGAAGTGGATTCATGTGTTCACTGCTGAGCCAACGAGTGAATAGGAATGATAGAAAAATATCTTAAAAGTCCTCCACTACACAAAGAAACACGAGCAAAAAGCCAAAACTACTAAAGAAAATCTATTCTGAGCGACTTTATTCATAAAACTATGTCGATTTAAAAGCTTGAGTTTGAAACACACCAACAAATCTGTGTGTGTGTGTGTGTGTGTGTGTGTTCATTTCTAACTCAACTTTTTATCGTTACTGGATCTAATAAACGGTGTAATTTTGGTATTTAGAGAAAAACAAACAAACAGACTTTGAACCAACCAGCAGGTTTTGCGGTTGAGGATTGAAAACAAGCATCCAGATAATAAGTAATAGCACTAAATGCGACCGTCTTCATCCTGAAGACCAGAACAACGCATGAAGACGATATTTAAGCTTCACTCCACTGGTGGAAGAAACACTGAAATCCAGAGTTTAAAAAAACAGCAACAAGGCAGATTAAAAACACTCCGAAGTTCAACTGAAGCAAAAGCAGACGTTTGTTTTTAGCAAAATGTGCTTAAACTATTAAAACAAAACCCCCAAATATATATATATATTATTATTTCTGTTTCAGTCACTGTAATGTGTAATATTTAATTTTCATTTTTCAGCTGTAGTATTTACTCACCATGTGTCATGTTGATTATTACCTCTGAATAATTACCAGCATTACCGTAATTCCCAGACTATAAGCCGCTACTTTTTCACACGCTTAAACAACGACGTGGCTAATTTATGGATTTTTACGAATTTGCCTCGAGACCAAAGTGACATTGAGAGACTAAGGATGTGTGTGATGAAGTAATTCTGAGGCTGTTCAACTCCGACACTGAAGAAGACAACTTTAGTGGTTTTAGTGCAGGAGGAAGATGAAGATAGCGATCAATGACTTTTCCTGGTAGGCTGCTGTAGTTTTTATTTTCTTAACCAGCTGTGTTACAGGCACTGTTCGGAAAAAAACATCTACGTATTTGTATGTTACCGGTATGTATTTAATTAAAAGTTTAAAAACATCTTTCTGTGTAAATATCTCATGTTACAACGTGGACACCTGCAGTTTATAGATGAGTGCGGCCTGTATATGTACAAAACAGGTTTTGTTTTTAAAGTCAGTGGGTGTGGCTTATATTCAGGTGCCTCAATAGTCCGGAAATTACGGTAATTTTACGGTAATTTTTACTGTTCTATTCTGGTCTTAGTTTTTATTATTATTATTATTATTTCAGGACTGTATCGTACTTTTATTGCTTTTCTGTCCTTTCAGCTGCATTTCTTGTTTTGTTTTTTTTTCCTTTTTGGAATTAACACATTTTTATTTGATCTTAAGTTTGTAAGTATGTGAGTTAAAATATTTTCCATCATTTTATTCAGAAATGCAGCATGAACCAGTTATTTAATGATTAAACACACTTTCTGTTGGTTGAACACTTTCCTCAGAACTCGCCTGAGCTCAGACGGATTGATGCAGACGTCATGTTTTACGGCGTATTTGCACATCGAGGGTAAATATCCTGCAGCCAGACGAACGGCGTCCGGCCTCACATCACTGAAGGAAAATAAAACCTGCATGAATCCCAAACGCTCAGCGAGTATTGACCGAGCCTCACACCAACAGACCCACGGCGACACGAAGCCGAAGCATCCTGGCTCTGGAGTTTTTTGTTTGGTGGGCGGTGGGGAGGGGAGGGGAGGGCGGCGTCGTCTCCGATCAGGAGATGTGGATCTAAATGAGATGAAAGTGGCGGACCTTCAGTGCAGAGGACCGCAGGCGGTGTTGAATCTGGGTTATTGCTTGTCAGACTCCTGTGTTTACTTGCTGCAGGACCCCAGTGTTGACACATCTCCTCAGTGTCTGATAGCACAAAATTGAAAATGTTGGGGTTGTCTACTGATCCTATCTGTGCTTGGCAGGGACTGAGAGCTTTTCAAAGGTTTAGATGAAGAACCCTCAGTTTTCCAGCTCCCAGCGACTGTAGCTCAGCTGCTGCACTGTATAACAGGCTGAGAATAACAGTCTGGAAACAGAATAAGAGATCAATAGGCAACAGTCAAACTTTAGAAAATATAATGTGAAAAACTTTCATCGCCGGTGGATCGAGGACGTCTGTGAACGGCTTTGTGTCTTTAAGATACGACACAGCCAGACGCCATCCAGCTGCAGGAAGGCTTCCTACTTTCTGCACCGCAAACCAAACGCTCTTCACTGCATTTATAACCTTTCTTCACAATTATTTTGGGTTATTTAAGGTTA